TAAACTACCCTGCTAGTTATTTTAGATGGGAGAATTGACTTGTGTGAGACAGAATGAATGAATGCGATTTGGTAAATATGACACCCAGCTGTCCAACACCATCTAGTCTTTCAAATATAGTCTGTTTGCTCAACTTCCTAACCGGTTTAACCCTCCCGTGGCTCTGCGCTCTTGTTTATGGACCTCGGGGCGAAGCAGTCTTTTGTTGTGCTGTTGTTGAGGATGTGCTCCTGACCCGTTTGCATGCGGTCATCGGTTAATTAGTTATCTCAGGTGGTGGGCGGTGATTAGCTCCGGTTGTAAATGCCGCTGAAAGAGTCGCTCCTCGTTTAGTCTCTGATGAGGTCAGGAGGTCGTCATCGAGTCATTCGTCACGTCTCAGAGCTCAGAGGACGACAGGAGCGTCAGACGAGCTGTGTTTTGTCTCCGTCGTAAACAGCCAGAGGAAGGTTCACAACATGCAAACATTCAGAGGTTTAGATGAAAGACAGAAACATCATTCCATAGCTGATGCAGCAGCTGCTAATTGGTTGTGTGTGTTAAAACTGTTGCTAAAACTGAAGAGTGCATACTTTAATGTCAAAATTACATTTTGTTGAAGTGGCCAAAGGAGGCCAACATCTTTTTTAGGTTTGTTTATTTATTTAGAAAATAAACCTTTGTATTTTCTTTTCTTTTAAATTTCTTTTATTATTATTTTTTTTGTTACAATGTACAAGATATAAAAAAGAAAAAGTGTACAAATATATAATTAACATAAAACAAAAATGGGATATTTATTTTCTTTATTGTATTTTTTTGTATTTTCATATTTTGCTACAAAAAATGTACAAAATATTTTTATGAAATATCAAAAAATGGTGTTATTAGATAAATACTAATTTTATGTTTTCTTTTAATATTTTGTGTGTGAGTGCGTGTGTATGTGTGTATATATATATATATATATATAAATTTTTCTTTTTATATTTTGCTACAAAAAATTAAAAAAAAAATTTTTTATATAAAAAGTAAATATTTTCTTTTTCTTTTCATAGTTTGCTACATTTTAGCCTTCTAACCTAACTGTAACCTTCTTTTTGAAAGATATATTTAATCATTTACATAATAAATGATAGACAGCACTCAGCTGCTGATGCCCGTCCTGTCATTTTTAGCATATGATGTGATGTTTACATCTAAAATTGTTGCTAAAAGTGAAGTGTGTAGATTTATTTAATTAAACTGTCCAGAAGATACCAGAATTAGTTTTAGATTATTTTTATTGAATATAAACTTTATTTACATTTTCAGTACTTGCTACATTTTTACCAGTTTCTCAGCATGAAATTGAAATTCATGCTTTGAAATCAGATTCAGATCTGAGTTTTGGAAAGACTTCAGTGGGAGAAGCATTGCATGGTGGGATATGAGGAGCGTGGTCCTCTGGGCTGACAGTGAGCCATAATCCATCCTCTCACAGAAACGGTTAGAGCAGAAGATATGAAGTTCTCGTCCGTCATGTGTTGATGTTCAGGTGCGCTGATCTTCTCTCCATCTCTCTGCTCATGATGTCTGATTGTTGACAGCATCTGTCCACATGAGCGTAATAACCTTCAGGACAGATGTTCATGAACGTCTTGAGAATGAACTCTGATCATATTATACATATATATGGGTGAATCTCATCAAAACATTTTAATAGATATTTCATATGATACTGAATTATAATTGTATTATATTATATTTATATAAATTATATTTAGTGTATATATAATTTTTTTAATATAATTTTTTATGCAATTTATATTAAATAATTTTAGACCAGATCACATTTCTTCACATTCGATCGCATTTAAGCAGAAAACCAGGAAATTGAAAATAGTTCACGTTCTTTTTCTTGAAACTGTATATAATTATATAGTAATTTAAATT